CCCCCACAAAAATAACAACACCACCCCAATAACAAACAACACACAATAACCAATTCCCCCCAAAAAACATCACCGACAAACTTGAAGGCTGCTTTAGGCAGGCCAGGTCAGACCTGGGGTCACGGCACGACTACCAAATAATGTCTTCCGTGAGATTGCAGAACAAAAATATTTGTCTGGGTCACAACACCAATATCTTTTTATACTACGTTGTTACCCAAAAAACTCCTGGTCAAGGCGGCAAAGACCTCCCGGCCATAAACACTTAAGCAGCGCTGTCTTCCCGCCTTCCCGACTAGATATGTACAATGTACTCCACAGGCCTGACCCCAATCTGTCTGGACTGCTGGGGGCTGCATGCTACTAAGACATTATTGTAATACGTAGCCGTATACAGTTGCGGTTTATTTTTGTTGTGTTTTTTTTTATCAGTTTGTTTCTTGTTTGTTTGTTGTTGGGTTTTTTGTTGTTGTTTTTGTGTGTGGGGGGGGGGGTGTTTTTGTCGTCGTCGTCGTCGTTGTTGTTGTTGTTGCTGTTGTTGTTGTTGTTGTTTCCGAAGATTTGAAGTGTTACAAGAAAGTAACAGACACAAACAAGAAGGATTAGGACGATAAATATTCAATAAATATTTTATTGGAAAGAAGGAAAAAACCACACTAGAGAACCCGCCAACCACCAACTGACTGCATATATTAAAACCTGCTGCTCTATCAGCCACTTGTATAAGACAATCACCTGTACAAATAGCCACTTCACATAATATCCTCCGTTACTTTCTTTTATTTGTTGTTGTTGTTGTTGTTGTTGTTGTTGTTGTTGTTGTTGTTGTTGTTCGTTTGTTCGCTTCTCCGTTTGTTTTTTGTTAATTTGTTTGCTTTTACATAATAATCATTCTATTTTAGAAAGTCACCTGTCTAATACAGCGATATTCCGCCTCAACAATGGGTTGTCAATCTAGATAATTCCAACTGTACACGTCGTCCTACTTGGGAAACTGAGACAGTTGGAATGTCTGTTGTGTTTAGGCGTGGGCCACCCTCCAACAGACGAACAGTGCCGTGGTGAAACAAGAGTGTATGCTTGTTGTAGAACATGAACATTTTCTGAAGCCGCAGTAGCTATGGCTGTAGATATTTTGCCTTCCCCCAAGGACACAACTTTGATAATTAAGAAGGCGGGCTGCTCAGACCCTTCCTATCGAGACCATTCCGGTTTGAGAGGGGTAAAATGTCCTGGCGGACAAACGAAGATACTCGATTTAAAAGAAAAACAAAACAAAACAAAACAAAACCAAAAAAAAAGAGCAAAAATATTTTTTAACAGGCCTTACGGGAAGAATTCAACCTATGTCTTCTGCGTGCGACGATGAAGCACCTAACGACTACACTGCAAACATTTTTTTCACATTTTTTTTTTTTT